ACTTTTGACCCCCCAAAATACCAACTAGATTCAGTTTTTGATCGAACGAGGTACTGAAGTAAAAAGTCGATGCACTTTTACTGCCCCAAAACTTGATGACAAAAAAAAAACACACATCATGGTAAAATCAATACATTCATCGCTCCGCTCAGAATCTAAAATACGAAATCATATTTGAACATTAATTAATATACGATTATACCCTATACATTTTTGCAAGAAAATCAAAAYTTCATTTTTAAAACGTTTTACATTTTTTGACCCAGGATACAAAATACCAAAATAAGCACTGAGGGTGCAATCACTGCACAATTCAGGAATAGCTGGAAAAGAGTCACTTCCGTACTTAATCATCCCAATAAACCTCACGTTAGTGGTATGGTTATACAACTTAGTACCTACGCGCAGTCGATACTCGATAGTCAAGTCATTCATCAATATATCCACATTAGTTGCAAATTATGTGCAGTCATGCTATAAGAACAAACGATATAATCAAAATTATTCAATTTGGCACTAACTGAAGTCGTAGTTAGAAGGGTCTAGGGTGCCAAGGGTGATAACAACAAAGTCCTCGACTGAGAGTGAGTGTGAATTGTATATTATTAATTCGTATATGCGGATGAAATAATAARCATCGGAACTACGGAAGAAATGAATAGCACTACTGAATATGATGGCAGAAGTAAGGAAGGGAGACAATGATGGCCCAATTATTACACCGGAAGATATATTGTACACCGTGGTGTTGAAGAGCAAGAATCTAAAGAATCATTCAACTTAATAGTCGGAAACTATATGTTATTTTAAGCTAGTAATTCAAGTACCTTTGATGTAAACTTGGATAATMAGAATAATATATTAATATATTATACTATATTATCTGTAAATCAACTAATTTGTTTTGCGTATTATTATAATCGTAACTTCAATGTATTCAATATTAATAGCATTTTCAAATCTAATGCACCATAAAATAAATAAACTAAAAAGTATAAAATATAATTATATTTATATAAGATCAATCCAATAGTGTATCATGCATCTATCGGACTTTATAAGTTTTACGAGTAGACAAAATCAAAATAGGATTAAAATGACCAATCGAAAATCATTTTCAAATTTTTATTTTTTGATACTAATTTTAAAAATAATTAAATGAATCCAGGAATCTCCTCTCAAATTTTATATCTCAATCCTTAATTGACTATATAGTATATAAAATAAAACTAACAGCTATGAAAGAGCAATTCCTCATCCGTTTCCGACAATATTGAAAATGGTTATATTCCCATTTCCGTAAATTTATCTGCTACACTATAAAAATATTGCTAAACAATTAAAAATCAAAGATTTCTTTTAATTTAAATTCAACACCGCTTGCATAGAATCTTCACAGTTCATATACATATTATATTATTTATTTATTTAATTAATTAATTGACGCCAGTMGGCATTTACATATTGGTGATATAACAGTTAATGAAGAAAAAATTTTAAAATTGTATATAAATGTGAAAATTATAGATAACATAAATATTATATTAAATTTAACATAATMATTACTTAGTAATTAAAAAATAGCTATGAAGTTAACATCATCCTAATTCTGAACGTGGCAATAAAACTAAGATGTGAAGAAATATAATTTTCTTATTAATAACATGTTAATATTACATAATATTATAACTTAATTTTTTTTYGGCGCTTTCCATTACCGTACAAACATGACCCAATACCGCACAAAATGCATAACCCAATACCGCACACAAAAATAGTACGATATCGCACAGATTTATAAAAAGGTATAGCCTAATTCCGCATACAACAAATGGTATACGATACCGCATAAATTTATTAAATATAGAAATTTAAATAGTTAAAAATACTTTTTAGTCATAATATTTGTAGTAGTATTAGTAATAGTAATAAAAATGTAATAATTTAAACATAAATGTTGTATTAAATGAATAGAACTATTACCACGGTTATTAATAAAAAGTTTAAACATATTGTATTGATTTTATTTTAAATGTCACGTGGAATGATTCAAAGATTGAAAGACGACTAAAAACACACTACAAATTTTTACACTGAGAATACAATCTTTTACAGATAAAGCTTAATAATGTCGTTATAGATAATAATTGTCGATAAGTGACGATAATCGTCCGTATTTTAAAATCTGTGTGCGGTTTTGTCCCATGCGTATTTTGCGCGTTTGTGCGGTAACGGGCGACGCCCTTTTTTTTGATATTACTTAGTTAGTTAGTTATAACTTATAACTATGTCTATAAAAACTATGTGAACAAAGATTATAATATGTATWGGATATATCTATGTATGGTGATTTTTTTAGTTGAGTTATTGATTATTATCATATTGATTTTAATAGTGAAAAATTGTCATATAAACTATGTAAAATGATTTTAAATTAAAAATAACTAAATTTAATATACCTTTTTAATAATCAAACTATTTTTAATACGATTCTTCAACAAATATAGATTCTAAAACTTACTTTTTATTAGATACGTCATACAATTAAATACATGGAAATGCAAAGTATATATTATATGGAATATATGAGAATAATATTTTCAAAGCCGGTGTATTATTGTAGGTACAAGCCCTATGAAAGAAAAAATCTAAAAAATTATATAATACTTAACTAGACATAAAACTAAAATGAATTCACTCAATTCTAGTAAATATATGTATCTCGTGCTATGTAACCATATTACCCGACCACGAAAGTAAAAATTTAATTTAAAATTAGTAGGTATGTATTTAAAAATTCATATATTTAGGAAATTAAAATATGAACTCCTTAACTTTCAATTAAATTATAAATTTGCCACAAGTGCTGATGATATTATGTCATAAAAGAATTAGCTTCAATCGGGCAACTATTTTAAGAAATGACGCATGGCCAGGCCCCTGGTGTTTGAAAGAGGACCTCGTAAAATAGTTACGGATTTTTAAAGTTAGACAACGAAATTAGATCGTACCCGTCAAAATGTTAATATCTTCACATCTGTAATACATTCACAAGACATATTTATATTTTATATTTGCTTAATCTTGACAACATCCTGTGCATTAATATATAATATAACGGACTTTTATTTTTAGGAGTTTTCATGTGTACGTATATGTTTTTAGACTGTCTACCTTTATTCGACTTAAAAATAAAATATTTATTTAATTCAACGACAATTGACTTATAGAAAATATTCACAACCTAATTCGATAAGCCTTTTCTTACAAAATTTACGAATTCCTCCATTATTATCTTTTCCCGACTAAAATTTGCATTGCAACTAAGTAGGTACATGAAACGAATGTATCGTGAAAGTCTCATAAAAAATCATCAATCTACAGTACTTTACTGTTTTTAAATTATTGTTCAAAGAAAATACATTACTGATTACAGCSAAATTTTATTTAAAAAATAAGACAACATTATTTCTATAGAAAATGAAAATTACTAATGTTGAGTGTTGGAAAAAATCAAGAATAAATTACTTTTTCCAGCCTTTCGTGAGTTAATGTAAATACTTTTTTCAGAAATACATAATTTTAACATATATTTTATATTATAATATATTAATATTATGTTAAGTAAGTGATAGGTACAAGGTAACAAAGCATGTGCATACAAGTGAAGGAAACCCGTCTGTTGACGAAGCTTCTAAAGTTATAGTTTACATAATTTATTATTAATTACATAAGTTACATTTAAGAGTTTAAGAAGACTCTGTCTGTWGTGCATCAATTTATTTCCAGGCAAATAGRTGGGCTACCAGTGGTGCTATACATACCATTATGTACTAAAGCTATTGATCGGTTGTAGTCTTGCGTGATTTTGAGTTCAATTTTTTAATCTTTCTAAATTTATCAACAATTAATCTCTCCGTGTATATAACAAATATCAGTAAGTTTTCATATAGTTAACGATAATCAGGATTTAAGTATCTGAACAGTTTTTAGAGCTTTTTTATGCAATAGATTAACTAATTATCTGACTATTGAAATTRAATTCTGATGTTCTTTAAATTTTCAACAGCAAACTTCCCCGGTCAGTTTTATAGCGGTAATGAAAATGTAAGAGGACATAATATATCACTACTATCAATAAATTATTAATGATAAAGAATGATTAAAGCCTTTACCTTAACACACTATTTTTCAATGGAGGAGGTGTGAGGGGGTTTTCACTTAGAGCACCCAATGATTTTTTTAAATCTTACACCCTATGATTATTAATATTTTATCTATACTTACCTTACTACCTACTCATAAAAAAATTATTGTTCTTTAAATAAGACAATATACAAATATTTCTTACAAAAAGATTATTGTTACTACTATAGGTACATAAACTATCAGTAAAAATAAACATTACCAAATACGTAGTAGAATATAATGCTTTTATTTATGCATAAATGTATATCAACAATGTACGTATTATTAAACGCATTCCGGCGATAATTATATAGTACAAGCATACGTTGGACAATAATTGTACTGTAATCATTAGTCACGGACAAAAACTCAAAGACATTAATTAAATTACAATTAGGCATTTATTATATTGCCTACGTTACAATTCCGAATTGTTTTTTGTACAAGGCGTTCGTAAAATGTGTCACATTATTTAAAACATTTTTCACGTATTCTATTGTTCTTTGTGCCCTTGACTCTGAGACCAGATACCTCTAACACTTTTCCCGTCATCGGATACTCGTTGAATTTCTCTGGTGTCACTCCACGACTAATTGTCGTTACGTATAGTTTGTCCAAATTTGGTCCGCCAAACGTGACAGATGAAACCTTCTCGGCGGGGATCTTTAACCTGCCCAACAACTTTCCACTGGTTCCGCTCACGTGCAGCACCTAACCAATTTGTTTGGACATTAGTAATAACAACATATTARCGAACAAACAAATCAAACGTTTACTTGAGCGCCATTATAATTAGCGATCCAGAGATCACCGTTAGCATCGATCGTCATACCGTCCGGAACRCCGGGTATGTTGTCCGTCTTGAAATCGTATAACGTTTTGCGGTTAGCTGTTGGGAAATTTAATTATTATTCATTATTTTTGGACGAAAAACAAACATATTATTRTATAGTACTATGAATGCAAACAATATCATTACAAATAGAAGCCGTARCTGGATCGTAGTTGAAAACCGCTATCTGCTTAGTTGGCGAATCTATGTAATACATCTTTGTACTGTCACCGTTCCACGCAAGCCCGTTGGAAACGGAAACTCCCGGTAAGACGGGTTTGAGGCTTTCGAAACAACTGGTGTCGTTTAGCTTGTACAAAGTTCCACGTCCGGGTGGGATATTTCCAGCAGCGTCCTCGAATCCCATAGTACCTGACACAGTTTTCGTTTCACTTGTTTATTTTTCGTTTGGAAGATTACAACTTGCATTTAATAAGCCAGAGGGGATAAGATTGTTTTTGGGAACGGACATTTTGGGAATAAAAATCTAACACCTACATTTAATTTAAAATCATACGTAAATTTTTGTTTGGCACATTTAAAATTGCTCTCAATTCGTGTATAGGTAAAATAATAATATCATACGGCAACAGATTATAAACATCGTGTTATTTACTTACCGGCCCACAAGTACCCGTTGTTGTCTGCTTTTGCGTCATTCCATCGGTTTCCTGGTTTATTTCTGTCAACGGTGGTCAGCTTGACGACCTTATTGGTGTTCTCGTTGAGATTCCACCGGAGACTAGCCAACGTTGTACCCAGTCCGATGACAAACAGGCCTTGTTGTCCGTGCACAGGGATCACGAAACCCACGTCAGCGTCTAATACGATTAAAATATAATAATAAATCAAAAAGTATACGATAAAAAAAAAAAATCTTTATAATATAGATATTATTATCTACCTAATTGAACGTGTTCCAAACGGTTTTCGTAAAACCTGTAAACGCGTTGCTGAGAAATGTCGACGAAATACAAGACGTTGTTCTCAGAATCCCAAAACGGCCCTTCGCCGTGAAGTATCACGTCGTCGGCCACTTCTCTGATCGACGCTCCATTATAATTAACGGCACCACTTGTCACGGCCATCAAACTGAAATAAAATGAATAAATTTAAACCGTCCGGAAAGCTTACAGACGACGAACAGAAGGTTCAATACCTTAGGAGAACAACATTACACTTGAGAATCGACATCGTGACTGAGCCACACGTTCAAGTGTAGTACAACTATATAATATTATAATTATACAGACTACCTACTGGCTCGTGACATGCTACAGCCAAAATAGGAATTATAAATATTAATTACCTTGTGGACTACTAATGATTTAACGGTCTGTTGGCAAGTATTTAAATGGACACGGTGACACTAATGCGCGCATCTTATCTGTTTCCACAACGAACGAATTCCGACAAATTGTACCCATTCATAATATTATAATAACGTTGCGGGTTTAATTTTAACACTTCTATCGACCCGTAGGCCATTAGGTTACCTTGTCAACTATAATTTATATGTCGAAAAAATGTGCAATAAATATATTAAGTGGAACTATAATGCAGAAACTTAGTTTATATAAATTTAAAACAATTAAATTAATTATTAAACAATGGCCATGGAGATTTCTAAAGGCGTTACTATCGACAGAACAATTTTTTATACCATTATTTTCGACACTTTACCTATATATACTACTACAAGCAATATTAAATCGTAATAAATAATAATGATTCGAAAATTATATTATTCCTAAATAATCAAATTTACACAAGTAAAAATAAAATACCAATTATACCTACCATGAGAGAAATTTGTATATATATATACGAGTATTACCTAATTATAGATTACAATTGGATGAAAATATTCATAAATCATGAAAAATTGTATGCTTTTTATGTTTTAAATTCCGTACATATTTTACTTAACAACTTAATGTTTTAAACATTTTAAGATCAAAAATAAAAATGATGCAATTTTTTTAATAATCAGGGAAAACCAAAAAACAAAAAAATACGTCAAATTGACAAAAATATTAGGATACGAGTTTTTCCTCCGAATTTAATACATTTTTTTTAATTTAAACATTCAAGTTTCAAAAATATTATTATTTTATTCGTCATAACTTTTTTATGGGATATTCAAATTCAAATTTCGGAAACATTAGAAATTCATTCTTAAAATAACGATTTCGCCTTAAACGTGTTTGCTATACTGTTGTAGGTAAGTACCTAATTCAAAAATTATTAACCATAGAAACTTGAATCATTCCACTTTTACTTAAATTATCGTTTTTCATACATAAAAGACATTTTCAAAACTTTTAGATCAAACTACACATGTACACTATAAACATTTGTATTTTTCAAATATTTTTAATGATTTATGTTAAAAAAATCATGCTTAATTAAAAAGTTGAACACTTAAAACAAGACTCATCATAATTTGTACTATTATAGCAATTTAAGACTGTCGATAATAGGTACATATTACTAAATATCTAGAAATCATTTTTTTGACATAGGTAGTAAATACTAAATTGTCTAATCATCTGAAATGTAAATAATTTTAGTTACCTTCTACAAATGCGTATTTATCTTTATTAATAATTTAAAACAGTTTATTCAATTTACAGCTTAACCCTTAAAAGAGAAATTACAGCAAAACCTAATTTTAAAAGTAAACATAATTTTATACACATGATGTTGTTGTTCACTTTTTTTAAAGACTATTAGAGCTTTGATGGTGTATTTTCAATAACTTCACTGTAGTTTTTAGAGCTTCAAAATCCGTACTCTAATTATAAAAACAATCTATCTGTAACCATTGAACGAAATTTACATTTTATTGGAATCATTCGACTAATTACTGACCTCGCTACTAACGATGATAATTAGTTACAAACCAACAATCTACCGCAATGATAATTTTTCAAAAAATAAATAATATAGATATTGTTTTATTGTTTACCAGCTGTGTCAAAAGTACATATTAAACAGTTTAGTGTTTCAGTTTGTATTTTCCGCAGAAATATTTTAACCAAATAACTATAAATAAAAAATGTTGTAAAATATTGAATTATTTATTTCATATATAATGCCATTGTTGGTATGTCCTCAACAGAAGTTTCTCTAACGTTCATGAAAAAAAACTAACAGGCGTGCAAACCTTTGAAAGTATAGTATTACCTAACAATATATATAAGTACCAATGCAAGATAAACAAACTTTCCAGAAAATTTTCCGTTTAATCTTCTTACGGATAATCGGCCTGTAACCCGTTTCACCACACAATATGAAAAGAAAAGAAAAAGCGGGAAAGTGTGTATCGCTCTGCTGTACATTAGGKGGTGGGGTGGACCTCTGACTAGGGTAGGTTAGATTTGAATGCAATGATAGGTATCATTGTATACGAAAAACGATTCTGAACGGAGATGATTTGTCAGTCTATAGGATATATTATAGATTATTAAAAAATTTCAAATCTTAGATTTAAAAAGAAATTTTTTTATGAATTTCTAGCTTAAAATAATTTGAAAATTCCGAAAATAACTCAAATGCTCAAAACATTTTTCCTATAATGACGCTTCAAATTTTCTCTATAGCTATTTGAAGCAAAACTTATGGAAAACTTAGTGTTGAATTTTATAACCTTAGATAAAAATACAAACAATATTATGAATTTTGAACTACAAAATAATTCGCAAATATTCATGGTTTTGACGAATTTTTGTCAATATTTGAAATTCAAATGCAAATAAAAATTTAATTTGAATTTCCGGTGGACATTTTTTTTTTGGGGGATAAAGATTTATAAATTTGTAAGGAATCTTGTATTAAATTTTTAAATCTTAGTTTAAAAAAGAAAATTTTTTATGAATTTCTAGCTTAAAATAATTTGTGAATTTTTGTGATTTTTACGTATTTGTCAAAATTCAAACTTTGAATGCTTATAAAAAAAAATTGTGACTATGAATTTCTTTTATTTTTCAACTGCTATTGTAACAATGATTTAAGAGCCTTGTATTAAATTTTCAAGCATTTCTRCCAAACAAATACATTTTTATCGATATTAATTTAAAAAAAACTAATAATGATCGAAAATTTCAAATACCTATGAATAGTTTAACTTAAGTCAAAATTTTTTTAAAATTTCATGGTGGATAGAATATACTTATATAAACATTCGATGTAAATTTCATGTATCTATGGTCTTTTATTTTAAAGTTACATCAAAAACCAAAATCGATTTTTTTGAAAACTGTTGGAAAATGTTAACTTTTGACCTCTATAATTCACCAAGGATATTCACTTTTACGTCGGAAACCACCCCCAAAGTTTGAAATTGAAGCATTATTTCGACTAGTTTTGCTGTACACAGACACAAAAAAAAACACACATCATTGTAAAATCAATACATTCATCACTTCGTTCAGGATCTAAAATGTACCTACTTTTAAATTATCTGATAGAAATAGAGCCAAGGACGTTTCGTATCCATTGATATAATAATAATAAATTGTATTGTAAACAACCACACATTGTTAGGTATAGCTACTAAAGTGTCCTGAACTTCAGAATAACTCAATCAGTTATAAGGAATTCCGGGAATCAACATATTTTATTTTCATCACTAAAAAAGTAACATAATTTGTGAGTGCAACAGCAGCAAAAATAATATTACATTACATGAACAACGGTAGCTTTTCTAACGTTGAGAGGTTGAGACCAACCAGAAAACCACATAACTGTGAACTGGTAACATTGGTTATATAATTTGATATACTTATAAGTTATAAGTTATAACAGATACTATAACTATATAAGTTATAAGCCATGTCAGAAGGTTGTATAAAAATGCATCATCGATGAGAAAATATGTACAGCGGACTGTATAAATAATTCTAAATGCAGACTCCACACTCCAAATCTTGACTTTTTTAAGAAAATATGATTTGTACAATTTAATTTAAACGATTTATTTATGATACTTGGAAAAAAAATGTAATCAACGTTTACCATTAATGGCCGTTGTCGCCGATGTCTTTAGATCAATAAAAAATTAAAATAAAATAAAATAATTTAACTTCGGATCAAACTAATTGAATTATTTTCATTAACGTGAAAGACTCAAATCTAAATTTATTTAATTACATATACGACAAGTTTTAATCAATACCTAATAATTAAAATGTATAAATCACTATAAACCGTAAATTGATTAATCTCTGTAATACTTATATTATACCTATCTTGACAGCGTATATAAATAAATTTCGTAAATTATTTTGTTAGTATGCGTGTTTCTAATAATTTTTATAATGAATTTTGAGAACACTTACCCAATACAAAACAAAAAAATGTACCTAAGTCCCGTCAAAAGCGTACAACGAATATAAAATAGCAATGAGTTTAAATTACAAACATGTCAATTTTACAAACTAGAAAATTTAAATTTTTTAATCTTATTTATATTTTATAATATATTCCGATCTCCAAAATAAACTACAGATAATTATTTGTAGAGGCAGATGATGGTGACAGAGAGCACTATGACAGACTCACCCCATCGCTATTTTTTAATTTTTTTTTATTTTATTATGTCCGATATTGATAAGTGCGCAGAAATAAAAATACATAACTACCTACTTACTGTACTGATACTGACACGTGTTCCCTGTTATCATTTTTCAAAGTGAATAATGTTCATAACAATATAGCTTAGGTTACCTACCTACCGGATAGTGGATACATCTGCATGACTGCATATTATAATGCAAGTAGGTAAGAAACAATAATTATATTTGTTATTGTTATTTTAAGGATATTTAATTGTATATAAACTATAATTAGTGAGATTACAATGACATACTTACTTATTTTTGTATAACTAATACGATAGGTTGGACTGAATTTCAACAAAAATAAATCACATGTATCATATAACAATTATTACTATAATATCATATTATATCACATATTAATTGATTGTTATTAACTATTATTATAAGTCAATAACGACGTACAGTAGAATATATTTTAATATGTGTCGTCAATATTGTGATATAAAAAATCTAAAATTAGTATAAAAT